GGAAAATGGCTTCCATTCCGAGTTCAGGGTACTCCAAAACTTCTACCTTCTTTATGTTGTTTTTGGCCAGGATAGCTGCGGGGCCACCAATTGAGCCTAGATAGAAACCGCCGTGCTTCTTACACGCGTTGGTTACCTGAAGGTAGTCAAAATAAGCCATAAATAGAAGTCCAGGGAGATAGACGTCATAGGTAGATGTACACAACTTACGTCTTTGGAACGGTTACCCTTTGCCAACATAATCATACTTCCACCCTTGGACTGGAATAGATCGACGTAGCTGTCCATTCGCCCGGCAGTTGTTGGTCCAAAAGAGCCACTGGCGTAGCCCTCCGGTGTTTTTGCCGGACCGGCATAGTAGATGGGATGGTTTCGCATGTACTCGGGCATCGGTTCACCAGCATCAAGGCGTTCCTTTATAGAGAAGAGGTTACTGTCAGATTAAATTCAAATTAAGAAGCAAAAGTAGTTGTAGTCAACTGACCTTTATTTTGGCGTGGGCGATATCACGGCCAACGACTAGGGTACCGGTCAATGAGACACGGGTTCGTACAGGATGCTTTGAGAGTTCAGCAAGAACCTTGTCCATAGGCTGGTTCAGATTGATCTTGACTGCGGTGTCGGAAAGGTGAGATGCGGACGGGTCAGGCAGATATTTCGCGGGATCAGTCTCCAGTTGCTCAACAAAAATGCCTTCGCTCGTAATTTTTCCGAGAGCCTGACAAAAATCGAAGGTAAACGAAGTTGGAGATCGACGAAAAGAGCATACCACGAACAAAAGGCGTAGCGTAAACAACACATTCCTATCAAAATAGTTAACTAGAACTTCAAAATAGGAAAACAGTGCACGGTGAACTTGTTGGCCCCAAATGGCGAAGTGATAAAATGAGTGGTGCCTTTTGAGCGCAAAAAACCAGGGATTCCAATGAGTGAAACCTGGTCCTTGACATCGACCACCGCCTATATGAGAGGATATATCGTTGTGCCTTTCTACACACTCGTCTGAGTACACCAAACTCTCCGCCTTTCCAGCCTAGTATTCAGGCAAAAGAATCCTGCAAAGTAGCGATCGGGTCAGCCAGAATTTTCTGCCTTTGAGGCTTCCGTAAATAACATGGCGGTGGGAGGTCCGTAATACGAACAGCAGCGAATACGGTCTCCAGTCAAAACTAGAAAAATAAGCAAGTCTATGGTAAATGGGCGTTCACCCATCGGTTACCGATCTCACTCTGTTGTGCCATGGGACTCGCACTCGAGTCCCGCCAGCAGCCCCTAAACGGTAGAAATACATTACCGACAAAGGAGACTGGAATGACCATTTCTGGCTCCCTAGTAGCAAATGCAACCGGATTCCACCATGGAATCCGCCCTATAAGGCAGGATTTCATGGCGGAATCCGGTTGCATTTGTTACTAGGGCTTATTAGCCATCATCAGCCAGTCATACGCAACCTCAGGTGCTGCAGCACCAGGGGCTCGAACCGGCGACCTTGTGGAACGCGCAGTCTAAAGACCGCAGTAATACTACGCTGCGGTGAGTGCACTCCCCCGCCTCATCCGTAGTTCAAATTCGAATCCAGCAGGAAACTGCTCTCCACAAGACCTTACGTCAACACTGTAACACTGTAATACTTTAACCAGACCTTGGGTTATCGTAAGCTAATGAATAGCGGACTCTTATTACTTCCCAAGGGCCACCGGGGCTGAGGGGCAATTGTCCGTCCAACATCAAGAACAACCATATGCACGATGCACAAAGATAACAACAATATAAACGGCCTGCAAGTATGGTCAACATTCCTCTCAAAGGTACTGAATAAAAACTACAGGAGCATACACGCAAGATACACATCGGAAATTTTTCAAAACGTTTATTTAAGGCAAAACTACGCGAGTCCCATCATGGGATGCGACATAAACAAAGAATATACTAACCTGTCTATCAGCAGAGCAGGAAACACCAATTCCAACGGGACAGGAGGCACCATGACGGGGCAGCCGGATGACACGCACGTCGTGGCAGAAGTACTTACCACCGAACTGGGCACCGATGCCAATTTTCTGGCTTATTTCGGTCACACGGCGTTCAGCCTCCAGATCGCGGAAGGCACATCCGTGTTCATTGCCTGTGGGAGGCAAAAGCGGAGCAGCGCCTCAGTCCGAGCAGAATTTCAATCAACAAGCGGGCTACTTTAGGAAAGAATTGCCAGCGTTATTTTTAAACAGAAGCCCTAACTAAGAATTACAGATAACACACCCTCGGTGATGTGCAGAAAGCTCCCAAAAGACGCCAAATGGATTTGAGAATCCCCTACATGCAACCGCATCCTACACTGGACACATTTTCCTTACTATAAAGCCAATTTCTGCATTCTTTGACAGTAGTTTGTATGATAAAATTAACGACCACTATCACCGACGGAGATGAGATTACGTGAAATTAGTTCTAGTGAAAGAGACATGCGCAACGTCTACCGCGATGTCTCATTCCACACCCCTGCTTTTATGGAAAAAACAAAATTAGGAGGACTGATGGGCATGGGCGCAGTGGTCAGACTCCGTCTATAAATAACACATACCTGCTATTTCCTCACTTCGGAGAAACCAGACTTCAGAGACTAGGATATGAACAAGGAGGACCGCCGAACTACGTAAGCAGTTGGATCACGTGATTCACCTCGCAGTGTCGGTGAGGTAAACAAGCACAGTTCCTTATCCCCCGTGACCGAGTAATGCTCCATGCTGTGCTGACGTAATCACGCCCGGTAAGATTTTGCTTTAACCATAGTTGTCATGACAACCTGACCGGGAGCCCTGGGAAATTCGAATTAACAACCTCCCCAATAGTAGGGTACTATAATAGTTCAAAAATGGTCGCTCGATCGGCGCCGTCCTTTTTTTCTTGTTTTCGTCGTATATCAATGGCAATCTGACTAGGGCAGACTGAAGATTATATCAGGAGCAGTTACTAGCATGGCATAAAGACAGCATTTCGTTTGTGTTACATGCATGTGTTGCTGCTAATGACTGGCGCAATAGTGGCGTTTGAGGGTCAAACCCATGACCACATAATGTGAGTGTCAAATAAAGACAAAAATACCTTTGGTGGGCAGATTGTCAAGGTACTTGGCGGAAGCCAACTTCACAGTCTTCAGATTGAATTCAGCAGAGGTGCCCCCAACCACAACGGCCAAGTGGTAGGGTGGACAGGCCGCGGTTCCGAGGGTCTACACATTGAATTAGCGGAAAGCGCTGCATAACTACTTACCAGCATCTTTTCGGCAATAAACTTGTAGAGGCGTTCCTCGTTCAAGAGAGCCTTAGTTTGTTGGAAGAGGAAGCTTTTGTTTGCCGAACCGCCACCTTTTGCCATAAATAAGAAGTTGTAGTCGTTGCCGCCAGTAGAATAGATTTCAATTTGAGCGGGTAAGTTGGTGCCCGTGTTCTTTTCTGTGAACATATCCAGAGGAGCTACCTAAAAATAAACACGAGCATCGATTAGACAAATGATAAACAATAGAGACGATACATTTGGCCAGAACCGTAACCACCCTATTAACGTGTCCACGACAAATACCACAATAGCCGTAGCTCCATTTTCGCTGTTTAGAAGTCGTTTCCATGCTGAGAGCGATAGTCTACAAAGAATGCCACTGCAATAGGTCTTCCTAAGCAGCAAGTCGGCACAAAATTAAAGGACTAAATGTGTACGTATTTGTGAAGTTAACAGTGAATATTTCCAGGTGGACAAGGTGTGTCCCTTCTAAAAATCAAACATCCAAGAGTAATTTAGTTTACAATCCTGAGATTGCTAACGAGCTACAAGGGTGTGGCACGAAAGCAAACGATTCTGTCTCATATGTCGAAGGCTACCGCGATAACAAGGGGCGTGTTAGTCAAGTACATGACAGAGGGCGTTACAGTGCAAGCACCACCGGTCGCCTGAGGTCATCCTTCACTGTGTCGAATGTTCTTTTAAGAACGAACTAATCGTGCCATCAAAACTAGCACCACAGTGGTTTTGGATCAAAAGTACTTTTAAAAAACAATCAACCAAAGGTAATGAGGTTCAAAGGTAAATCAAACAGCGAGTTCCGCATGAAGTCTTTACGACCTGGCATGTTCAATATGTTCACGTGACTAGCGACGCCAGGTCAAAATTATATCCCGTCCGGCTCCGTTTTTGTTAGATCACACTCGAATAACCTCAAGCAACTCTACAGGAGGAAAGTGCTTCTGTGCAGACCTTTGTGTCCGGGAGAGAGAGAAAGTAAATCGTGTTTCCTCGTATAAC